CTCTCCAATAATGCGTGAGTACGTCACTTCCACTTCATGTAGGAGAGAAATTGTTCTGAAACACTTTCAAGCACATCCCCTCCCTCGCTCTGTTCCACATACTTGTTGTGACAACTGTAAAGTGAAATGCCCATGTGATGACTGTGATCAAGATAGGTTAATTGCCTCTTTACCTGATGTTTCTGCTATCCAGTCCCCAAACCCAGTGGAGCCTGTTCACAAATTACCATTTGAGGGTCAGCTAAGAGAAGAACTCTTGGAGTTGAGAATGTCTTTGGCCCCCTCAGTAACCTCATTGGGTATTTCGCTGACAACTGGCTTCAGCCTTTCTTTGGTCGATGAAACAGTGAAGAAGTTTGACCAGCTGAACTCTGCTGTTGATATTGAAAATGAACTGCCCATTTTTAACCATCACCATGCTGCCCTTATCTGGGAAGTTATTCAGAAATACAAAAACAAGTTTTGACATTCCCCAGGAACACTATTTCCCATGATGTCACGTTATGTCCCAATTGACATTTCATTTTGTTTCTTAATATTGTGCACACAAACAGACACATTATAAAACTCCATTTACTCTAGCTGCCCYCAGGGCTGGCCAGCTGAGTCAAGGTTTCAATATAATGACAATTTTTCAAACAGCAAAAAGAAATGCACAGGAAGCCCAAGTTTTGTGTGATATGCTTTATAAGACMTGTATATATTTTTATTTTTAAGCAAGGCAGGTGCATGTGCACCCAATGCACCCCCCTAGATCTGCCCCAGAGTAATGTCAAGTTAATCAATTTCAATGATAAAATTTATGAAGTGGGGAATTTGAAAGCAGTTCAGTGCACTGGTTCTTCTGCACAGGTGGGCTTGAACAAAGTGCCCAGGAAAAGTGATACTGATGCTCTCTTTCTATTGAGATATCATTGCCATGAAGACTTTTAATTTCATTCTATCTTTTGTACAGTGAACATGTAATTAATTGTTAACTCCATATGAAAATGCAGTTGCATGAAAACCCATGAAAGTAGATTAGTTAGTGCATGATGCCTCAAAACAAAAGTAAAATAATCAAAATGTCTTSTACTAACTTGATTGGCTAGTAATGTAGATATATAATAAGGGATGGTTCACACTGCRACATAAGCATACAGCTCAAAAAAGGAAATGATTGAGAGATAAGACAAAATGAAGGTGCTGTTTTCCATTTTMATTCTTTTGCCTTTGATTAGGTTATGCTTTGCCTAATGCTAATTTGCCATGCTYATGCCAATGCATACTTGACTTATTTTTTGTCTGTATCTTGTACTTTTGTATATGTCATAGTGTAAACTGGCACTTGTGTTTCAAGGATTATGTGGAAATTATGACTAAATAAAGCCACTGCCCAAACATGGGCACTATTAAAAAAAATTATTTACCAATAAATGCTGTGTATAACTTTGTTGGTCAATGATTAGCATGAAATAAAGCCTTCGAGGTCTTTCATCACTTGTTTTGTGTGCTTTAGTAGTTTGGGGGACTTCTATACAYATAACAGAAGGTGGGATGATAAATTTCGAAAAATGACACTTTAAAGGATTCCCAGATGTTTTTTTTAAGAAAGTAGTTTCCACCAATTTTTGCCATAATGTACTAACTCAAAAACACTAACTTTACAATTTTCGATAATGTCCAAACATGTAATCCCTCTATCGAAAAAAATCAGTTAGCATACAACAATGTTGTTATTGATAGTCTCTACACTGCTGATGATTATTTACATTTCGTTTTAATATTCAATCTGAATACATAATTGTGAAATCTACAATCGATAGACATCGTTTATATGACATCACAAACTTCAAGCATATACAAATACATTATTGATCAGAATAATTGCCTTTTTCAAGTCACTTTAAAATTCTTTCATGTTAATGGTGTTTTTTGAGTTTGACATTGATATTCAAAGGTAGCATCGTTGAATTCACGGCTCTGCTTGTTTTCGCGCCAATTGTCTAAAACTCCAGCGTGAAACCCGCGCGAAATCGTAAATCGGTTACCTGTATCATGGCAGAGTTTACAACACCAACAAAAGTTTCTGACAGTGGACGCACAAAGCGTTTACGAAATCCTTCTTCTCCATCAAATCGACATCTAATCGAGGGGAATAAAAGATCAGTTTATCGACCAATTTTGCCAAAAACAGACAAGGAATGTCTTCCGTCCCATCGAATCCTGCCGGATACAATTAAGAGTTCACCGTCCGTTGATCACATAGCTAATAGAATTGGAAACAAAAATCAAAAAGTAAGTCACGATTTAGGGCTTTTAATAGAATCGTATGATATCCCTTACTGATGTTTTGGAATGAATGATTTACATAATTTATAGTCAAATTCATGTGCCAAATTTCAGGAATTGGTACTGCATTGTATCTATAAGMTCAATTGTCGTGTTGTTGAATTGCTGCGCGTTTTTGTAACATACTGAATTATTTTGTATTATGTTACTATTGCATTGATGACAAAGCATACTTTTGCAATTTGCAAAACAGATGCACGAGAATGCCAAACTGAGGCTACAGGAAAGGGACATAAAAGCAATTGAGACTTCGTTGAAATCCAATGGCACAGCAGAAGACCTAGCAAATGTGATACGAGACATCTCTCCTCTTTGGTCTGCAATAAAAAAACTTCACATTCAAGACCTTGTGCAACAAAGTAGTCAGCTATGTAAGAAGGGCGAGAATTCATCTGTTTTGAGAGCTTCATCAAAATGCTATAATGACATTAAAGACTTTAAATGGCAAACAATACTTACAGAGCTTCTGAATAAGGCACCAGACATTGCTGACATTTTATTTGCTATTGCCTGTCCTAAGCCTCTTAAGTCAAAGGAGAGAGCAGATAGCATCATTCCACCCTTGTGTATGGCATGGTCAATTCTGATGAACATTCATAATACTGAACTAAGTATTGTACAGAAAACAATGACATGTATCCTKGGAGTTTCTGGCTGCAACAAAGCAGTAAGTACACAGTAAACATTTCATGTTATGTGTTGGATATTTTTGGGATATTGTAAAAAGTAGGAGGGGTGTTTGTCAGAAATTCTGAAAATGACCACTTAAGGGATGACYTGTATTGTGAGATAATGAGTGTGGCAGTCACCCTCTATTCACCTCTAAGAGGGACCAATCAATATCTCTGTCATTTTGGTTCACTTCATCAAATCCACAAATTTTATGTTTGGAGAAATATGCAATTAAATTGATCAAAAATCCAAAAGTCTGCATTAAAAAAATTGCTGTATCAGCAATGCAAAAATACAAAAAAAAAAAACAATGTCCCCTGTCAAGGAATAATTTTAAAATATATTTTACCAACAAACATAATAACCATAATTTAATTGAAATTGATCAAATTGTTTATTTATCTAAAAATGCCTTTTATATTGACAGAGTGATTTGAGTATAAGACTAATTTATACTGCTAAATGATACTAATTGCATTCTTGTTTATGTGTGCTACACATCCAATGAATTATGAAAAGACTTACATTAAATAGAAAGTTTGGGAAATAAAGTTTAATTCATTTTATTTGCAGACAATGAAGAAATTGAATGCTCTCAAGTTATGCCAAAGTCATCAAAGCTGGCATAGAATAATGGATGACATTGGGGACAACCTGAATAATGAAATAAAAAAAGAAGTTGGAGAAGGCTCACAACCAAGACTAGTTTTTGATAACTTCGACTTTAGAATTAGTGCAGGTGAAATGCTGAAAGGAATACRGAATGTGGACAGACATTGGCTCTGTCAATACCTCACTTTTGACAGAATTGACACAACTAGGCTAGACAACACTCAACCATTGGGGGACCTCAAMCATGAAGACATCACTATCTATTTACTTGACCAGGAAGAGCAAAACCACATTAGAGAAGAATACATAGTTTTAGTAGCAAGGATCCTATGTGACTATATCCCTTGGCTTAAACCTCTTCGAAATACAGTCCCCTCTAATATACAACATGAGTGGAGTGAAGAAATGAATAAGAAGTCTGTGATCATCCCTCTTCCAGTGAAACCGTATGATCAAAAAAAACACAGTGAAGTCATCCAGTACTTGGATACAGTGCAAACATTCATCAAGGAAATAAGCAATGACCATGAGACTTWAATGCAGATACCACTGGGAGGAGACCTCCTTGGAAGAGAAAGAGTCACTGGGGCAAAGAAATTGAGAAGAGGATGTGATAAAGAGGAAGAACGATTTGGCAACATCACAGAGGTCTCAGAATATTGGCATGCAAAGCAAAGTCTATTGAGTGTAAGAATATGACCTGAAAATACAAACGTGATAAAAATGTGCAAAAAACTGTTTTTTATTACATAATGTGCAGATAACTTCTTTAAAAAAATAAGATAGACAAATTTATATCACTGTTTCCTTTAATTTACAGCTTTGTTGGAAACATTTATATAACAAGTCATCTGGCCGTGAACCTGGCACCTTATACTATTTCAGAAACTTGCATGGAAGAACAAATGTGAAAGATAATGTAAAAAACAACTATGCTGCTGCAGAAGGAATGCTGCTTCACCTGGCAACAGCATATATTGTTACAGCATTCATGCACTATGCAGGAATGTGTGACCTGAAGGACMGGCCAAAAGACATTGATGAGCCTGGGAAGAATGTCACCCTTCAMGGGTACAACTACCTTCGTGAAATTGTTGGCAAATTTGTTGACTGTTATTGCCTGTTTGAACCAGACCTAGATAAAATTCAGAGGAAGCAAAAGGCAGATAAAGAAAGACAAGAGCAACAACAACAACCWGGTTAACTATATATATAATAATCATATATATAACAAAATTCCAATTTCATGTAATATCCTAATGCGAAGTGATAATTAAGAGCAAGAAGCACAACATGAAGTTGACATTTCATATTCTTACATTTTATATCCAWAGGGTCAATGGTTTTTCTCTTAACCAAAAAGGGGGATGGACAATTGCCTGAATATGAATTTGAAGCACTTGGGCAGGTTGTGAGTTCTGATGAGGTTGTCATCTATTGCTATATCATTAAAGGAGATGGTGCAACTGACCAAGCTCAACAGCTTATACAACCTGCAACAATTATACCATGGCCAAAACAATTGTCGGCATATCCAAATCAGTCTAAGAAATGTAACACCATAATACATGTATATAATATTGAATGTTTTCTTCTGTTTTAGCTTTCACAATATTCACTTCTAGCAAATGGAAAATCTTACAATAGTTAGCTGACCATCTAATAATATTTTTACCAGAATCACTGAAGCAAGATAGTAAGGACCCTGATCCTGAAGACCACATGACCAACTATGGGTTATGGGTAATCCAATTTGGACTTCTCCTAATGCAGATGAATGWCACAGAAAGAGAGGGTGATGGGGAGAGAGCTATGAGAAACAATAAACTTCTGTTACTTGTCTTTAGAACAGGCAGACATGCCAAARMATATGCCTTTGAAATGCTACGAATGATCAGCAAAGTGAAGGTCCAGTTGACACAACAAATGGCTSCCAGGAAYATTCATGGCAGATTTSTAAACTGGAAGGGCGGAAGAAGCCATAACTGTGCAAATGACTTAAAGCAAGAGCACCTCGTCAAATTTACTAAAAAATTGGTCAAAGGAATGGGTGCTCAGAAGACTGAAAAGGCCATCAATCGAGCATCAAGAGCAGCGGCAGGTCTACAGCACATTGTAGAAAACTTCGATGACTGCACTGGGATCCATCCAGAGTCAACAGTCCACACTTATAAAGATGCAGAATCTGATATCATGGACATGATTAACATCATAAACAGGGAAAAAATATTCAATTCGATTCCTGGACGGGCCCACCCAACATTTGCTGATTTGCCAAAAAGTTTACTGGATACATTGGATATTGCAAAAATGGAGAAGTGGATGAAAAGGTAATAATTAAGTAATAACAGAAAATACACCACCTAGATTTTATGACCTGATCAACTGATATTTTTTACTTATTTTCATCATAATAATGACATTCTACCTGGGTAACCCTTGTTCTTCATTTCACTTAATTATGACAATTTACCAAGTACATGACTGTACAGAGTAAAAAAAAACTTTAGGAGTATTAATCATAAGTGGTATCAAACGGTAATATTCAAATATTAATGTTTTTACATAGTTGGAAAAGAAAGCTTGCAAAAAACCCTGATGTGCCTGGGGATGCCAACCCTGATGATGACGAATCACAAGTCGAGGAATCAGAGGATGACCAGGATGATAGTGATGGTTATTCAAATAGTGATGATGATTAACCCATTTTCTTAGAAATTTATTTAAGACAATACATTTGGCATGGACAACCAATTTTGCAAAATTCATGCAAATTTTTGCTTTTAAGAGCCGAGAGTGGTTAATAATGCAAATCACAATAATTATTAGTTATTTTTAAAAACATCTTAGCAATATGGCACATAAACTCATGGATTTTGAGAATTTTTGACTTAAGTGGAGTGTAATGACCCCAGAAAATCATCACTTTTATAGTTGTTAACTTTYCTGATGAATCTTTTACTACCATACATGTAGTTAGGTTCGTTCAGTTATTGAATAATCAGTGCTTTGTTATGTGAAGGTGTTCCAGTGATTGTATACACTGTAGGTTCTTTAATATTTAAATGACTAAAGAAGTTTTGTTTAGATGTCAGATAGAGCTCAAAAATGTAATCCTGAAACTTTTAAGGTTAAACATTCATCACTACTATTGAATATCAGACAACTACATCATGTAAATAACCACTGAACAATAAACATGTATACATAATTCCAACTGAAGTAATTGCTGAAATAATTATAGGCATATATCTCACTGTTTTGTATCTTTAAGTCTTGAGGAATAAGATAGAAATGATACAGTAGTTTAAGAAATGCATTTTTTATTATTTCATTTTGAAATTTTACACATTTGGGGCTTGTTGTGGGTCACTAGCCATGCTAGCAACTGATTCAATGAAAACCTACAAATTAGCTGTCATAATATCAACTACCCCTGACTTGAGTTTTGAATACGCTAGAACACAAAATGCAATGAAATTTAAGGAAACACTTTAGGTATACAGACCATTTTGAAATGCAATTCTTAATTTAAGAAAATATTTATTTATTTATTTGTATATTCTTATGATTTTTAAAGATTTATATCAATTCTCTTATTATAATTTTTAATTTGTATATCAC